ATATGCAGCAACTACTTGGTGAGAAAAAAAAAGTGTCAAAGCACCACACAACTCCAGATGAGAGAGCACAAATAATCTTTTCCCTCCAAAATAGCTACTCCACAAGAGAGATAGCCAGAGCCTACAAAATCAGTCATTCCACCATCACTTGTATTAATAAACGGTGATGAGAAAATCACACTCTTGAGAATGCAAGTATCCCCAGCTATCTATTTAGCTTGAGCGAGCCGGAACAACGAAAAATCGTCAACCTCATCACCTCCCGCAAGTATTCGACCACTGTAGAGATAAGTAAAAATCTCTGTACAAACCACAGCATTCAAACTTCGACACCTACAATCCGCCACATCCTTCGAAACCATGGATTGGTTATGAAAATTAAAAAAAAAAAGCCCTACCTGAGTGAGAATCATAAAAAATATCGACTCAAATTCGCGAAAAACCATGCCAAATGAACCGTTGAAGACTGGTCCAAATTTCAAGTCTTTGGCTCAGATGGTATCCAATATTATTGAAAGTAACCAGGCGAGCCACTAAAAAGTCCACATGTTAAGCCAACGAAGAAATTTGGAGAGGGAGGAATTATGATGTGGGGTTGCTTCTGTTCGCGGGGCGTTGGGTTTCTTTGCTGGATTGATGGTACAATGGACAAAGATCTGTACCAAGAAATTTTGTCTGATGAATTAATACGGACATTGGAATGGTACGATTTGGATAAAAACGAAGTCATTTTCTAACAGGATAATGACTCCAAACACATGGTGAATTCAATGAAAGACTGGTTTGCCGAAAATGAACTCAAAGTAATGGATTGACCGCCACAATCCCCGGACCTCAACCCAATCAAAAATCTATGGTGGCAGGTTGATGTTGAGCTGCGTCATCGCCCTGGCATAATTTCGGGCAAAGTAGAACTATGGGAAAAAATTGAGAAGATATGGGAAGAAATTAATATTGAAACTTGCATTAATTTAATTGAATCAATGCCAAAAAGGATTCAAGAGGTAATAAAAGCCAAAGGGGGTTATACAAAATATTAAAAATGATTTAATGTATTAAGTTTAGCAAAAAATTCAATAAGAATTAGGAATTTGGATTTTTAATAATTTTTTGAAATTCTTTATTAATAAAAGAACATAAATAATGCAACAGTGAAATTTATATATTTTTTAAATTTTTAAAACATTCTATTTAATAATCTATTTTGTATTTATTATAATAAAAACTATAACATATAATAAATCAAATCAATCAATGATTAATTTGATATCTTTAAAATTTTTAAAGATATAATAATTTAAAAAATTTGATTCAAGTGTTGCATTCTTTTTGATTGCTACTGTATATCTTAGTCTTTAGCAAATTATTTGGATCTAAAAAATTAGAGATATGAATTATATTATTAAATAATATTTCAGTATTTGAGATACTTATCTGGATATTGGATAAAGATTTGAGATTCTTAGTTAAAATCACATGATTTTGATCATTTTTCAGAAAAATAATTTTTAAAATTACTTGATTTATAATATTTTGAATTTATATATTGATTAATTTTGAAATATTATTTATATTACAAGTAATATACTTAATTTTATCAATTTCAACTCCATTTTCTTCAAATAGTTTATGAATTTTTCTGATTCTAAAAGTTTTAATTCATAAGACAACTAATATAATACCTGATAAATATTTTTAACATCTCTTTATATATTTGAATTCTTGCAATTTTATCATTAACTTCTATCTTATATCAAATTTTGATAACTTTATTTTCAAAATTATCTGAATAGTAAATTCAGAATAAAATTTCTTCATATTCAAATTATATAGCTTTTCTAAATAAATTGATTAAGCTTTGTATTGTAATTTTAGATAATGATTCATAATATCTTTGAGAAATATTTCTATAGGATCAGATATAGCAATAAGTATATTATTCCATAAATCTTATATTACATCTAGTTCTATATTTTGATTTTTAGTAAGCTCAATTTTATCAGAATCATCAAGATTCTTCACTGGTAAAGCAATATTTGTGATTGTTTTTTGTTAATTGTTTTTAGGAAAATGATTTTTATATTACATGATGAATTATTATCTGAAGATAAATTTTGTTCCCAAAGTTTCTTCTTCCTAATTCTCTCCATTATCTCTTTACTAACCTGTTCCTTATAAACCATTTCTACAAAATCTAGAGTCTCAGCTGAATTATTATTGATAATATCTCGTGGCAAAGAGGTTACAGATATTTTAGATTCAGATCTGTCAAAATATATTCTAGTTCAGGTAAGTAATTAGAAGTAATATCTTCCTTCTTATCAGAATGATCCTCGATAGGTGATGGAGTAGATAACTGGGCTGAAACCTGCAATATAGTTTTATTCTGCTTCTCAATTTTATCAATGATTCATCCAGTTTCATGATTTTGGCTTTAAACTCTGCATTTTCTTCTATAATCTGTTTCAGTTTTGAGTTTTCGTGCTTAAGCTCAGCATTCTCGCCACAAGCTTAGCATTCTCTTGTCTAGTTCGGAAGATATGTTTGATATTATGTGTTTATATATTTGCAGATTTATTTTAAATTTGTGATGAAAAAAAATATCGCATATTTGTCATGCTGTTATGGCAATCATTTTTTATATGCAAATTATAGTGGGTGGTGTCAATGTAAGCAACCATCAGGAATCACGATAGCAGGCAAATACACGAAGCACTCGTGACGCGAGTCAGATAATCCGACGATGATAAATGCGACAGATTTGTCTGAGCAAGTGAATTGCTACGGAGCAATTAAAAATCTATTATTTTTGGCATCTCGTTATTACAAAACTGTTGTCTGCACAATACTGACAGGAGCATTACAAGAATTATTTTCCGTCCCGTATAAGAAAAAACACATCTCATATTTTTCGAAATTCAAGAAATACCCGATTTAGCAAATTACAAATACTTTTGCAATAAAAAACTGCAGTACACAGTGACTTTATCGAAATTTAATCTATCATGTCTATCACGACCTAAAAAAAATTTTCAAGTTCTTCGATTAGGTCATCGTAGTTCAAGTTTTCTGCTTTTTGAAAAATTCTATTCCACAATCCTGATTTCGCATTAGACTCCCAAAAGCTCAATATATTTTGCGCCCGTAACCTGAAGTTAGGAGTTCTATCAAAGGAAAGTCTCTCCACTAGCGCCTGTGCCGGTTTATGAAGCATCAAGTAAAACGCCATTGCCAAACATGTTAAGTCAATTTTCGGTGAATAAGATGGTTGTTCCCCGTTGACCAATGATATCAAGACATCGTCGAGCATGCATTCAAGTGCACCCGCAAAATTCCCAGCTTGGTCTCCCGTTACGCTATATCCCCAATCGATAATCACGATGTCTCCATTATCATTACGAAGAAAGTTGTATTTTCGAAGATCCATGTGTACAAGCTTGTATTTTAAATGGACGGCCTTGAGGGTGTTGATGATGTTTCTGATATCCTCTTTTCGCAGATTATTTACTTTCTCACAATAAGGAGTTGTGACAAGGATGCCGTCACCATACAGGAGGAGGGTCTGAAGATGAGGTGAATTCAAACTCGAAAGAGCTTCCAGTGCGCTTTTTTCCCTTTTAAAACAAGACAAATAATCTTCGCTTTTTGCTATTTTCACGACCACTGTTTCCTTTTCATCACGCTTTCCTAAATATACGATGCTAGTCCTTCCTGCACTGATCGGTTGAATTCGTCTTACAGTTTCTAAACCGAAGGAGAGAGATGGATCGATCCATCCAAGCTGTTCCTTAGAGCATTCCATAATGGTCACAAGGTATTTCCACCCTCTTGAAGGGGTATCCTTGGCTTCGTAAGTTAACGTCTGCATTGGTATGGATTGATACGAGAATCGGATATTGTCACTGAATATCGAGCCACCTTGTAGATACAAATAACTCTGCAATCTGTCAACACCACGTATACATTGGCTCTCCTCGGCTAAAGTTGGAGTACCTTTTCACCAAATGACACTGCGTGTCCTACATCGGCAT